TCACAGCACTCTAGGTGGTTGCCAATGTTGATGACCCCTAATTTCAGCCCTGAAAGGGTCCAGACTTAGCAAATTGATATAGGAATGGATGGGAAAAGGAGTAGTCAGGAGGTCAGGGGTAGAAAGATCACTATGATCTTAGAAAACTCTTACAATGCACCAGGTGCTCCTGCAGGTGTGGAGGCAAACTGAAGAGATGATGTAGGGGATCTCTGTGAGGGGTTCTGCATACAGATTTACTTCCCATAAGTCTCCTCCCATGCGGATATGGACCAATGCTAGCAGGAGCAGACTCCTAAGGTGTATTCATCACAGTGCAGAGGACATGCCAAAGATTCCACGCACCACTTAAACCAAAAGGTCTTTGGCTAAAGTCGTATATACTTAACCTCCACAATGGGATATATTTTACCCTCAAAGATCATTAAGACTGAACCATCCTCTCACACCTATCTTAGGCATCAATATTCATCACCACCCCACCTGAAACCCTCACAGCACCCCCGGGAGGTAAAAAAAGTGCTATTATCTTCATTTAACAGATGGGAAGCTGAAGGCACACAGAAACTTAGGCCCAGATTTTTTAAAGTATTTAAACTTACAATGCCTAACTAATTTAGGAGCCCAAATCTCATTTTTAACAGAGATTTAGTCAGTTAGGCGTTGCAAGGCCAAGTTCTACAACATCTAAACTCCTTCCAAAATCTGGACCTAAGTGACTTGCTCAAGATCCCACAGGAAGTGTGTGGCAAAGCAGGGAATTGAACCCAGGTCTACCAAGTCATAGGCTTGTAGTCTAACCACTGGACAGTCCTACCTCTCCCCTCTATTGTTGATCCCTCCAGGCTTGGGCTATGGCATATTGGTGGGGCAGCATGAACTTTGCATCACTTCATGCTGCACCAATTCTGTTGCTCAACAGAAGACCTGCATCTGCAAGGTTCTGAGACCAGATAAATTTATTAAGAAAGTATGAATAGATTTGTACCGACTATATAAGGCAGCACTCACTTGGTTAAACTGTTTAATAAGAATGTTCATGTAAAATCATTTTTATTTGCCTAGTACAGTTGCCAGTAAAGCAGAGTGACATTCCGAGGATAATTTATCATTGATGTAACACAATATAAGAACATAACATAAGAATGGCCATGCTGGGTCAGACCACAGGTCCATCTAGCCCAGTATCCTGTCTTCAAAAATTGGCCAATGCCAGGTGCTTCAGAGGGAATGAACAGAGCAGTTAATCATCAAGTGAATCATCCCGTCGCCTTGTGCTGCACTAATTATGTCACAGGCTTATTCACTGCTGAAATATGTAGATGAGACCCTTGTTTAAAACCTATCAGCATCCGGCAAAAAGATTTAGTGAGCCTGAAACTTTTCATGAATAAAAAAAGGGAAGGAGAAATGACATGAATGAAAACATATAGAATGTTGTTTGCTGTCATTTACACATATTTGAATCTTTCAAGTTTGGCTTCACTTGAAAGCATCACAGCATAATCATCATATTGGTTTAGTTTTAAAAATGTATTTTACAGGATACTAAGACATAGAAATCAAGATTGCCATATTGTCATACAGTTAGCTTGTGGCCGCGTCTTACACTGCTGCACAGGCAGTTAGAGAGCAGCAAGGCCTCAGTTCCACCTAACTTGTACAGTGTAGGCCTACTCAGATCACCTCTATTGCTGTGACTGGGGGCACAACAGTGGTTAAGGTTCCATTACTACTTTTCCTCATGAGCAAGTGGGTAAAGAGTGGGTGGAGCAACGGCTCCACTCCCTCCATTCCCCAGCCAGCAGAGCTGGTAGGATACAAGTGGGGAACACTGTGCACCCTGCAAAGAGCTGTAGTACCTCCTTCCCCATTGCAAAAGAGGAATGCGGGAGCCATTTTGCCTCCAAGCTGCATCTAAGACAAAATGGCTCCTTTGGCGGTGCAGCTTATACACTGTGTGTTGCTCAGGGCTATCCCTAAAGGCACCATGTAGCATGCAATGCATGCCAGTACAGTAATAATAAAAACCGACTTAGAACACTGAAAAAGGTCTCCACAGCTAACTACCAGCTAGTGGTTACATTTTGTTTCTGACATAATACTATTTCAGAACACTAAAGCCCCAGAGACAACCATATTAGATTCATTTGATAAACTCTAGGAAGCTATGAACTCGGGTTTCCCCCCCCTTTCCCCGAAACACACACACTAATATCTATCACACTGCTCCTGCATAGTCTAGGCTGTCAATGGGCACAGAGTCTGGGGATCTTCTTTATTTAAACATTATCTTACGGTTCTTAAGCTAGGTTTAATTACAGTCTATTGCTATGGATATGATTATTTGCATGGAAGACTATTTCATGGTTCTTTCATTTGTATATGCTATCAAAGTAGTAAAAAGTTTGAAAACAGACATACAAAATAATCTCTTAACACCACTGGAAACGCTCAGATGTCAGTTATTTGTTTACAAGTTATATTTACACACTTTCCAGGAAAGAAATACTGTGAAGGCCAAACATATAGGTTTACTTAAAAAAAAAAAAAAAAAAAGAATAAAGATACAATCT